CCGCCGCGGGCGCCGGCGCTGCGTGGCCGTTCGGCCACTGCTGCAGCATGCGCGAGAGCACCTGGTTCGCCGCGCTGCGCGTGCTGGTCAGCTCGGACGTCAGCTTCAGGGCGGCTTCCTCCGCCGCCCGCTTGCTGCCCACCAGCTCTGACACCTGCTCCTGCAGCAGCGCAAGCTGCCGCTCCAGCACCCGCACGCGCGCATCCGAGCCGCCGCCGCCGGCGTCGCCGTTGCCGGCCCCGCCTCCGCCGCCGCCGCCACCGCCGCCGGCCCCCGACTTGCTGCGCAGCGCGGCGGCCAGCCGCATGTTGTCGGCGCGGAGCGCGTCCACCTCGGCAGAGAGCCGCTTGACCTCGGCCGGCCCGACGCGCGTCCCGAGGTTGATCGCGCTGCTCTGCCGCGGCACGTGACGCACGCGGCGGCCGGCGGCGCCGCCATCGATTGGCGGGTAGCCCGGCGGGAGGCCAAAGCCGTCCCCATACTCGCCGCCGCCATCCTCCCCCAGCGCCGCGACCGCCGCCGCCGCGGCGGCCGCCAGCCGCCGCTGTTGTTGCTGCTGCTGCTGTGACTGCTGCTGCAGTTGTTGCTGCTGCTGCTGTTGCTGCTGTTGCTGCTGCTGCGGCTGAGAGTCGTCCTCTTCGCTCTCGGCCCCCGCGTCGGGCGCCGCTGCGCCGCCGTCCACGCCGCCGCCGCCCCCGTCGCCGCCCTCCGCGGCGCCGCTGCTGGCCTCGCCGTCGCCGCCGCCCGCGTTGTCCCCGCTCTTCTCCTTCAGGCCGCTCGCCCCCACCTTCAGCAGCGACCCGAAGAGGCTGTCCCCCGGCTGCGGCGCGCCCAGCACGCTGCTGCTCGGCCCGCGCATCGGCTTGCGCTGGCGCCGCCGGTACGACTCGCCGGCGGGCGTCGCCGCGCCGCCGGCGGCGTCGCTGAGGCCGAGGCCGCTCGCAATCTCCTCCTCTGCCCTGAACGCGTCCAGGGCGTTCTGAAGGCTGTCGGCGTCCCCATAAGATATAGCAGCCCCGAGCCCGCCAAACAGCCGGCTGCGCTGCTTCGCCGGC